CTCTACCACTGAGCTACATCTGCAGTTTTGTTTTATTTATTAATTTATTTATATTTATGTTTTAGTTTTTGGTGGACGCAATATCTTTATTATACTTTATGTGGTGCTGAGGATCGAACCCAGTGCCTCATGCATGCTAGGCGAGCACACTACCACTGAGTCACAACCCCAGCCCTGTCTCATTTATTTTTAACCCATAATTACTTCATTCCTATTTGTCAAAATGCCTTGTCTTTCTTTCTCTCTCAATTTTTCTTTTCTTTATTTCTTCCTGTATGTTACTAAAGCCTGAACTATAACCCCAGCCCATTTCTTTGAGTCAGGGTCTTGCCAAATTGCCCAGGCTGGCATCACACTTGCAATTCTCCTGTCTCAGCCTCCCAGGTAGCTGGGATTAGAGGTGTTGACCAAGACGCCTGGCCTAATACTTCTCCTTTTAATTCACAAGGAAAGGGGTAAAATAGCATGCAGTGTAGAATCAAACAACCCTGAATCTATCCTTTACCAAGTTGGTGACCTCCGAGCTTCAGCTTTCTCTTCTGCAAAATGAGGATAATAAAGTGCCTGCCTAGTTGAGGTATGAGAAGACAAGACCAGCTGAGACCACACACGCAAAATGCTCATACTTCCTGGCACAGAATAAGTATACAAGCAAGTGACTCTTACTATTATAAGAGCATTTTTTTTTTTTTAGAATTTTTTAATATTTATTTTTCAGTTCTCGGTGGACACAACATCTTTGTTTGTATGTGGTGCTGAGGATCGAACCTGGGCCGCACACATGCCAGGCGAGCGCGCTATCGCTTGAGCCACATCCCCAGCCCTATAAGAGCATTTTTTAAGGGGGACAAGGTATTAAACCCAGGGGCACTTGGCCACTGAGCTACATCCACAGCCCTTTTAAATTTTATTTTGAGACAGGGTCTCCCTAAGTTGCTGAGACTGGCTTTGAACTTGCAATCCTCCTGTCTCAGCCTCCCGAGCTGCTAGGATTACAAGTGTGCTACTACACCCAGCTCCCATCCCTCCTTTTTTAAAAAAAAAAAAAATTTTTTTTTCAGTACTGGGGGTTGAAGCCAGGGGTGCTCTGCCACTGAGCTACATCCCTTTTTATTTTTTATTTTGAAACAAAGCCTCACTAAATTGCTGAGGGTCTTATTAAATTGCTGAGGCTGGCCTCCAAATTGCAATCCTCCTGCCTCAGCCTTCCAAGTCACTGAGATTACAGTCGTGCCTGGATTCAATGGATCCCTCTCTAGTTGCTATTCCTCCATGGTACTGTATGGTTTAAATTTCTAAGAATTTTTTTTTAAACTGTAAAATTTGGTCCATAATTTATAATAAATATTATTTGTCCATTTTCTGATGCTATGACAAAATACTTGGATATTTTATAAAGAAAAAAGGTCTGTTTAGCTTACAATGTTGGAAGCTGAAAGTTGAAGATTGGGTGTTCTTATTTGTTTGGTCTCTGATATGAATTCCCTTGGCTAGGTCACAACATGGTAGAGATGGAAATGTTCACATGCAGAGGGAACAAAATACATGGGGCCGCCTTACTATAGAACAACCCACCCTGTCCAGAACTAACTTACTCTGTAAGACCGGCATTAATCCCTTCTGGCATGATGTCTCCCCAAGGACCTAATTACTGACTATGCCCCACCTTTGAAAGGTTCCCCCTTCTCAATATTGTCACACTGAGGATCAAGTTTCTAGCCCATGAACCCTTGGGGAACCCACTTGAACCATACCCAAACCATAGCAATTTTCTTCTATTTCTGCATTTAGTTTAGCAAATTTCATCAGATTCCCCAAGAGTACATCAGGCTGTCCCCAGAGAAGCCAATGCTCCTTTAGTCAACAAGCACATCTTAGGAGGTGAAATATGATTTTTTTTCCCCCCTGATACTCTACCACTGAGCTACATTCCAGCCCTTCTTATTTTTTATTTTGAGGCAGTGTCTTGCTAAATCACCAAGGCCCACCTAGAGTTTGTGATCCCTCTGCCTCAGCCCCCAGTTAGCTGGGATTACAGGTATGCACCACCACACCAACAAAACTCACAATTTACTTGAAGGAATCAGATCCCTGGACTGCAGACTGATGATCTAAAATAAACAATAAAATAGGACTTGGCAAAATCATTGTTTGGGGCTGAGATTTTAATCTTTTGCCTGTCTCAGAAATGTCAGTCCTAGCTTTTTTCTTTTTTGTTAGGAGCAGAGATTCTTTGGTAGTTCTTGTCCCACAGTCTGCCAAATGGGGTTGACAAATAAGAGGTTAAATGTTGCTCCCTTGCTGGGTCAGCAGAAGCTCTCATTTCCTGATCACAATGGGATCAGAGCTATGGGATGAGATCTCTGGGTCCCCCTTCCATGAGAATGTCTAAAGGTGTATGATTCTGTGTAGCCTGAAGGAGTGATACTCAGATAGTTCCTGTGGCCAGAGGATAGATGCCTGGTTGGGATTCACCCAGAGAGGTGCTTTTTTACCTATGAAGATGCCCAGGAAATAGTGTCAGGAAGGATTGGTGTGTCTTCAATAGCATGATTCCTTTTCTTACTCTTTTTCCTTTTTAACAAAGCAGCAGCTCTTTTGAGCTTTTTAGGCAACAACATCAGGCTAGATTAAACAATGGACCATGGTTTCCATTATATTCACTTTTTTAAAAAAATGTTTTTAGCTGTAGATGGACACTTAATTTAATTAAGTAACTTATTAATTGATTAATTATGTGGTGCTGGGGATTGAACCCAGCACCTCACATGCTAGGCCAGCGTTCTACCGCTGAGCTACAACCCCAGTCCACTTTTTATTTTTTATTTTTTATTTTTTTTGTATTGGTAGATGGACAGCATTTATTTATTTATGTATGCATGTATGTATGTATGTGCGGTGGAGGCAAGTGCTCTGCCACTGAGCTACAGCCCCAATATTGACTTTTATAAGTCTCTCTTGTTAGGACAAAAAAACCCACTGGTTTCTCTTTTCCCTTTTCTCGATTTCTTTTTAAACTTATGGCTATGGCATAAGTTGCCTTTTAAAATAATAAAAAAACTAAACAAAACAAATAACTTACAGAAGACTATTAATGCTTTCCCATTGAGCTAATCCGCAGCCCGAAATTGTCCAGGCTGGCCTAGAGCTAGAACCCTCCGGTCTCAGCCTCCACAGTAGCTGGGATCATAGGCTTGCACCAGCGCGCTGCGTCTGAAATGGCTATTTTTAATTTCCAGCCCCAGGTGAGCGGGTTTCCAGGGAAATGGATTAAGTGCAGCGTGACTGACGTATGCTGAAATTAGCCTGATACTTGCGTCAGACCTTAACAGAGTAGGGAGATTTCTTCTTCTTCTTTTAATTTGGGATTGGACCCTGGGGATTTCTACAACTGACCAAGCTAGACCCCAGTCCTTGTTTTATTTTTTTTTCCCTTAAGGCAGGACTGGTTAAATTGCCCAGACTGACCTTGAATCCTCCTGGCTCAGCCTCCGCAGTCGCCAGGTTTACAGGCGGACGTCACCTCACCCAACTTTTTTTTCTTTTTTCTTTTTCTTCCTTTCCATCCCCCTTCTTTCTTTTATTTTCTTTTCCTTCTTTTTTCTTTCTTTCTTTCTTTCTTTCTTTCTTTTTTTTTTTTTGTGGCGGGGGGGGGGACTGGAGAGTTAGCCCAGGGTGCGCTTGATCAGGGAAGAGAAGTTTTTTTTTAATCATTTCCCCAAACAACCTGAACTGGATAGTACTCCGCAAGCTCTTAGAATTAATGAGCCCTTTCTGAAAAACGCCTTGTTAAATTTCACGGGCCCGGCAGGAACCAGGTGGATTTTAAAATTTTAATCATTTATTTTTTAACATTTACTTGGTTGTTGCCACTGTTTGTTTTAAAACTCTCAAACAACCCCTAATGCACTTAAAAAATACGGAAACGCTTGGCTTGATTTAAAAATAGATTGTGTTTTACCTGGGACATTTTCTGGGATTGCAGCGGAAGTGTCCCCTGGTTGGGGGAGGGGGAGGCAGTAACTGCAGGACTCGGATGGGAAGGGGCCTGGACCCGCGAATTGGGGACTCCGGGGCTTCCCGGTTCTGCCAGGCTATTCGACCCCGGAGTTGTCTAACCTCTCGTGGTGGGGCAGGGACAGACAAGTGCGAACCCTAACCCAAGGGGTCTCCTTTTTCCTCCAAAACTAAGTGCATCTCTACCCTTTAACGCATAATACCCTTGACCAGCTTGAGAAAGACTAATCACCCCCCATTTTGCAAATGTGAAAACTGAGGTTTGGAATAATCAATGGTTAAGAAACGTTCTCAAAGATATCCGCCAAGTCTCTTGGGCACAAAACTCTTCCCGAAGTTCCTTCGTGGAGGGCTCCGTCGCTCAATGCCCCCCAGATATCCATTTAGTCCCAGCTTCGGGGGTTTTGAGGTTGGCCGCAGCGACATTAGCTCAAGTCAGCCAGCTACGGCGCTCCGTGGCGCTGAGTCCCCCACTCTGCCCCAAGGTCCCCTTCAGCGCAGCTCTTTGCCTGACCTCACTGCCCAGAGACAAGAGGTGCAGACGTGGCGTCGGGTCTGGTCCCTGTTCCCCAGGAGTCCGCATTTACTCCCAGGGCTCCAGGGGCGAATTCCCAGCCTGCGCCTCACTGCTGCAGCTAAGACCCTCTGCACTGTCCCTGGCGCCATGCCGGGCTCACAGGGTTGAGCTAACAACGAAGCCCAGGTCAGGGCCTCTGGACTCTTGAGTCCTGAGGGCGGCGCGACAGGGGCCCCAGATCTTGGGATCGCCAGGCGCGAGTTCGGGCGGGGTCTAGCACTTGGAAAGGACCGAAGACTCTCGGGGCGGGGCCGGGGGCGGGGCCTCGGGCCGGGGCGGGGCCGGTCGGGTCTCCAGGGCTCCGGGACTTGGCCTCGGGCGGGGCTGGAGGGGCGGTCGCGGGGCGGGCTCCGGGGCGGGGCGGGGCCGGCGCCCTCTGGGGCTCGCGGCGGTCGCTGAGCCTCAGTCCACCGTCCGCGCTCGCGCCGCCACCATGACCCACGCGCTGATGCCTGCGGCCCCCCAGCCGCTGGAGAAGGAGAACGATGACTACTTTCGAAAGGTGGGCGGCTTCGGGTGGGCGGCGAGTCTGAGAGGGTCGCAGACCTCCTACCCCCAGGATGTGGGGGGGTTGCGGGAGCGCGCGTCCGGGGTCGGCGAGGCCCGGACGGGGAGGCGCTCTGGTCTGGTGCGGGAAGAGAAGGGAGGGAGATGGAAAACGGGCCGCTGAGTACCGGGCGCCCGGAACAGGTGGCAGCCCGGCTGCGGAGGGCGGGTCCAGGGGGCCGCCCCTGAGCAGGTGTAAGCCGAGAGTCCGGGGTCTGGAAGGGTGCTTCCGCGTATCCCGAGAAAGGACCTGTGACTAGCTGCGCTGGCGCCCTAGGCCTCCAGGCGCTTTGCGACCCGAGCCCAACTTCCCCCCGGAGCGCTAGGCGGGGTCGCGAGTGGAGAGGGAAAGACCACCCCAGGCGGGTTGGCGTTGTCCTTTTCCCTCCAAAATACTTCAGTGTCCTCCTCTTCGACTTCTTAGTGTGTAGAAGATAGCAGCTGGGGGAAGGGGACCTCGGGTGCCGCCTTCTCATTTGTTCGGACTCGCCCAGGAGGGCCTGAGCACGGTGGTCTCGCCCCTTCTCGCTTTATGCTAAAGCGGATTTATCTGGTTGCCTGAGAAACCCTGCGGGTGAGTGCGGCGGACTCTGGGCTCTTAGCTAGTCCAGGCGCTCCTCTGCACTCAACACTGCCTGCTCCCCCGGAGGTGATAGCGATTCAGTCCATCAAAAGCAACCCAAGGTTGGGAATGGGGGTGCAAGCCTATAATCCCAGCAACTCAGGAGGCTGAGGCGGGAGGATTACAAATTCGAGGCATCCTTAAGGATTTAGCAAGATCCTGTCTCAAAATAAGGAGGACTGGGGAATTGTAGCTCAGTGGTAGAGCACCCCTGTATTTAATCCCCAGTGCCAAAAATACCCCCCAAAACCTACCCCAGCCCGTGCCAGTAGGGACGCTGGGATACCCAAAGGTGCCAGGGCCTGGTCTACAAAGATGCTTTGAAGCAGGGAGTCACAGAGACACTTTCCACACCTTCCTCCTTGCAGGTCCTGGGTGAGTCAAAACATAGCCATTGGAGCTTGGCCTGAGATCACTGGGTGGGTTAAGAGATTGTCCTTGTTATTTTTATGACAGATATGATCATAATTACAAATAGGGAAGTGAAACTGTTTAACTCAGAACAATCAATTCTTAATTGTTCAAAACCCGCCATTCAGTTCACCAATAGTCTTGGCATCTTCCTTCATCCACTCCATATTGACAACTTTGGGCTTTTTCTCATTAGTGAGGAGCAGTGACAGCAGGACTGGAGGGGGAATCTGGAAACCAGTGGGGACAGAGTGGGAAAAAGTCTTTTTTGTTAAGTTGCTTTTAGCATTTAAAAAATTGTTTTGCAGTATATTTAAGTTCAAAGATGTCATCATGGAATTACAGGATTATAACTTCTAATTATGTGAGGCGTTTGGGACAGAGGATCACAGGCCATGGAATTGCAGAAGGAGGCTTGGCCTGGGAATCCCTAGATGTTGGTCCTAGTGCCCCAGGGCTTGACTGCCACCCCCACAAAAGTGCTTTGTGGCCTCCAGAAAGTTGCTGTCTTTCTGCAACTTTCCTTCCTCTCTGGATTATCTGTTTTCTGAACAAGTGGCTTTGTGGACCTATGGCAGTGTTTGGGGGGAAATGTCAGGAAGGATGGAGCACACCTTTGAGGGTGATGGTCCCAAGCCTTCCAGAACAAGTTTTCCTGGGGGAGCCATGAGTCCAGGGGAGGACAGACATGCACAGGGAAAGGGAGAGGATGTGAGGTTGGGTGTTTTTCAGATGCAGTTTCTCTGGTGCAAAATCAGATGAATCACTGCTTTACCATGAGAAGCATCTGTTTTGAACATGAGACCTTGTAATGATCATTGTGCTGTGACTGAGTTAAGCCACAATAGTCCAAAGAGTGTTCTTTGCATGAGGAAAAGAAATGGTGTTGACTTAGACTCTTTCCTGATCTGTGAACTGAGACAGTTTTGACTTAAGAACTTAAGAACTGATGCTCCCTGGATGAAGTGTGATTGTTACACAGGTAAAGAAGAGCACTTCAGGTGAAGGGTCAGCCTGGGCAAAGGCATAGAATTGTAAATGCCTCTGGGTGTGAAAGTCTAGCCGGAATTAGGCAGTTCAGGGTCATACATCCTAAGGACCCACGAAATTTTGGTAATCCACCGAAGCATTTAAAGTAATCCCAGACATGTGAGATTTGCGTCAGAGGAAGACCCTTCAGACAGCTGAGTGGTTAGAGGGTCAGGGGTGGCTGAGAGGCAATGGTAGAGACAGGCAGGGCAGAGTTGGGGCCATTTAGCCCCCTGTTATCCCAGTCATCTTTGCCTTTCCTACTCTGATATAGCCTGCTGATGACTTCAGTCTGTTTAAAGTGCTGGGGGGTCAGAATCTCCACCACCAGTCCTTCCTACCAGCTTATGCACCAACTCATATCAAAGGCAAGGATCCCAATGAAGAGGTTGGAATGATGGGCAAAGGCAGTGTGCACAGGGTGGGAAGAACTGATGGGATTGAATATGGTGGAGAAGGCACTGTTGGCAGGACTCCAAATTATGGGGAGCAGGTGGATTTGAGGCCACCTTTGGGATATCCAAGTGGGTTCCAGTGCACCAGGGACCTGGCAGTCACTTGCTCCTGGCTGGAGATGCAGCTTTGGGAGGCACCAGTGTGGGAGGCTTTGGGATATTGAATGAAGGGACCTGGGGCAGAAGAGAATAATACCTTTACTTAAGGGATAGGTGGAGGCAAGACCGGAGAGCAGTGGTGTTAAGGAAGCGGACTCTTGTTAGCGGTCGGGTGAGGTTGACAAGCCAGAAGAGCCCTGGAGAGTTTTTGATTAGTCCCTTAGGGAGTTGTAAGAGGATGAGTAGTAGGAGGGATGGGGACCAAAGTTAGTGTATCATGTTGTGGGGGAAGGGCAGAGAAGAGAGTTGCTGGAGAGAGATAGGGACACAGAAGAGAGAAGCCAGGATTGTTTTGTTTTATTATTGTTGTTGTACTGAGGATTGAACCCAAGGCCTTGAACATGCTAGGCAAGCACTCTACCATTAAGCTGCATTCCCATCCCTTTTTATTTTGAGACAGGGTCTCCACAAGTTCCTCAGGCTGGCCTCCAACTTCCTATCCTCCTGCCTCAGCCTCCCAAATAGCTGGGATTACAGGCATGTAGCATTAAGCCTGGCTTTATTTATTATTATCATTATTTTTTGTGGTGCTAGGGATGGAACTCAGGACTTCACATGCTACACAAAGCACTCTGTGACTGAGCTACAGCCCAGCCCCGCAGGCTTGTTTTAGAATGAGGAAGTCTAAAACCTCTTAAAGCTAAAGGTGAAGAAGTTAGGTGGGGAGTCTTTCTGAGATTGAGAGAGAAAGAGAACAAGCTGGGAAGGAGTCCTATCAGCTGGGGAGGTAAGGATTGGAAGCTGCTGCTGAGTGGGTTGGGAGGCTGAGCTAACCAGGGACAGTGGTCAGGACATCATACGACTCTGGACTTAGAATTTTGCACGCAGGATCAAATTCTTAAAATCAAGCTTCTCTTTTACCCTGCCTTCCCTTCCTCTCTTCTTTAAAATACACTCAAAAAGCTCTGTGCCTTGTGCTGGGGTTCTAGCTCAATGGTAGAGCACTTGCCTTGCATATACAAAGTCCTGGGTTCAATCCCTAGCAACACACACACACACACACACACACACACACATACACACACATAAATAAAGATATTGTGTCCATCTACAACTAAAAAAAAAAATTAAAAAAGAAAAAAGAAAAAAAGCTCTGTGCCTGACTCTCACCAGGTTCTGGGATACACAGGACCCTGATTTTTTTTTTTTTTTTTTAATTTTTTTTTTAGTGTTGGGTGTTGAACCCAGGGCCTCAGTGTGCTAGACAAGCACTCTATAGCTGAGCCAACCCCCAGCCCCTGGACCCTACAGCTCAAGCATGCGGCCATTGCTGATGCTTTGTGAAGCTAGCTCCAGCTAGGCTTGAAAAGGAGGGACTTCCCTTACTTTATTTCACAGCAAGAAGTGGAGTACCTCCACAAGCTTCATTCAGGAGAGCTACAGCAGTGTTTTGTGGAATTAAAAGTCCCTTATGCTGGATGACCCTGGTTCCTAAATGTGCAAGATAATTACTGATGGGGAAGGGGAGATACCTTTTAAATTAGGGTCTTTTGGGGGGTCATGTAGGAGTTGGCTATACAGAGCTAGAAGATAAAAAGTAAGCCCCAGGTCAGGGCTTTTTTTTTTTTTTTATATTTATTTTTTAGTTGTAGTTGGACACAATACCTTTATTTTATTTATTTATTTTTATGTGGTGCTGAGGGCCTCGCATATGCTAGGCAAGTGCTCTACTGCTGAGCCACAACTCCAGCCCAACTCCCACCCCCCACCCCCCACCCCCCCATCTGTAAATTTTAAAAAAAGAAAAAAATATTTTGGGGGGGTTTGTCACAACATCATGTGTTTCTCTGACTTCTCACTGTATTGTTTCTCACTAAATTATTATACTTAAATACAGGTATAATTGTATAAGATTACTATAAATTCTTAAAAGGACTACCAGCTCCCCCCACCCCACCCCCACACCCCAAGGGTTTTTAGGGAAGAATATGTTCTCTGACCTGTAGGTAAATGCACAGTAATGTTAAATTTTTAGGAGGCTGCATCCTGATAGCAGATTCCTGATAGCAGATTCCTGATAGCCCCTAGGGGAGAGGTAATTCCCATACCCCCCAGGAAAACTAGTTCTCAGCCACAAGAACACCAGCTGGGGGGAAAAAATAGAGGAAAGCCTTTCCTCAGGATTGTTGAAAGGCCCTAAATGGAAGGTTTTAGCACCACATGGAAGGAATCAGTACAAAGTACAGCATTGTCACTTGTTATCTCTGCCTCTTCATCCTGAGGGAACACAAATGCCCCGAAATGAATTTAACTCCATTGTTTTTACTCAAGAGCTGTAGA